TCTATATATTATATATATTTATATTATACATTGAGTATGCTGAAAAATTTTGATATTGATTTGCTCTTTGAATAATTTATATCTTTTAATCTACAATTTTCGCACGCAAATTGTAGATATATTGTAAGAATTACATATTCTTATATAAAGAATTCATCATTTTACAAGAATTATATAAAAAATAATGTCAATTAAAAAGTATGAAATCTATTCTCGCTTGTAGAGAGGTAAGAATGCCATTTAGTTTTCATACTTACCAGTAGTAAGTAAATTATATAAGTTAAATTATATAAGTTACGATCCATGTATATTATTACTTCCATAGTTATGTTCTACAAACTTTATGCTTTCAACACTTAGCTAAAAGTTTAAAGCAATGTTTCGTCGTGCAAAGTAAAAACAACGAGTGAATGCAGTACAAAATACGGGAAGGATGTTTCAAAACGAACTAAGCAACTTCGAACATTGAGAAATGTACCTTCAAACACGAATGTTTTGAAATGGATTTTCAAAATGGATCTTGGTGCCCAACACTAATGGAAATGCAGTCTCAGAAGGATTGCGATCGAGGACTTTTTAAGAAAAAGAAAAAGGTCAAGCCTGTTCGTGATTCAAGGACGGACATAAAAGTACAGGAAAGCTTTTTGTAAAACATACACTTTTTTCTTGCACACGGGTAACATGATGTATTATCTTTTACTTTATCACAACGTTCACAACGTAAGTGAACACATTTTATTTTAACATTTTATTTTATGTAACTGTATTCTGTATGTAAAACTCGAAGTTCTATTAAGAAATCTTTAAAATTTTTCTAATGATTTTAGTTTTATGAATAAAATCATGATGTAATTATAGATAAATAAAAATTGTTTAAAGCTATCGCAAACGCGAAACTTAAACTCGTAAATATTTGTCCTAAATTTTTTACCAAGTACATTTTGTAATTATTTTATTCATCATAATTCAAAAATTACATTTTTCTAATTGTTACACTTTTGAAACTGACAATGAAAGAATAATATGTAGAATTAATGTACATAATTAAAAAAACTATTTTGTAATTATTACAATTACAAAATAGTTTTTTTAATTATTACAAAATAATTTATTGAACGATGTATATTCCACATAATATAAAAATTTATATATATTTTTTTTATTGTCGGTACCTACAGTTGCTACAGCAGGCTGATTGAAGTAAGTTAATTCTTCCTCTGTATTCTGATGTTAAATAATTAATATCAATCTAAAAAATTGCTGGACTAATATAATTTACCTACTAGAGAATGAAATAAATGTAAAGTATTATCAAGTGATAAACGGAAGTAAATTATATATATACATATATATAGAATAAAATTAGGAATTACGCTCTCAAAACGTCCTTTCAAAATAAACTTTGGAGAGAAGTCTACCGAATTAACTTTCAGTTCTAAATGGTACGTCCGAGGGCAACAATGCAATTACATGGTATGTCGCGCGAAAAGTTTCCATTGAGGAGAAAGTGTGACTGAAACTTATATTTTCCCCAAAATCTTCGCAAATTCTAAAATAGTAGAGAAGCTGTATTAGTTCCTCTACAATAAAAGAGCGATATTTGACTTAGTT